TTGAAAGGTTTAGTTCGCTGTCTTGATTCAGAATAGTTTCCAAATGTATCCAGACATAGACAAAAAACCGTTTCCTTGAACTGAGGAACCACCATGCAAAATTTAGCTATGAGACAACTTTTCTGAAAAAGGATTCAAATTATAAGAATGGAAATTCCAACTGAACACCAAGAGCAACTTTTGGGCAGTAAGAGCTGTTCAACAGTGGAACAGACTCCCTTGGAAGCTGGCGGAGACTCCTTTCATGGAGGTTTTAATGCAGAGGCTGGATGGTAATCTGTCAAGGATTATTTAGATGTGATGCCTGCATTGCAGGGGGCTGGACTAGATGACCCTTGGGGGTCCTTTCCAACTCTACAATTTACTTACTTACTTACTTACTTACTCTAGTAGATGTATTTTATTGATATTTACCTAAATATGTTCAGATGTATAGAGGTTCTGGCTGTTCTATAATGACCTGCGCATGTCCCCTATCTATACCACCCCTGGAAGGCCCCCTCAGTAAAAAATGACCGGCTATGGGCCTGCACTCAACTCTTTGCTCAATATGATATCCAGTTCCCTCAAACGTTCCTCTTAAGTACTGGTTTCCAGACCCTTTGTCACCTTCCTCTGCACAGATTCCATAACTGGACACAGTATTTCAGGTATGGTCTGACCAAGGAAGAATTGGGCATTAATATAGCTTCCCTTGATCTGGACACTATACAGTGGACACTTGGGTTGCGAACGTGATCCATGCGGGAGGCACGTTCGCAACCCGCAACATTCACAACCCGCCGCGCCACATCTGCGCATGCGTGGGTAGCAATTTGGTGCTTCTGTGCATGTGCAAAGCGCGATAGTTGAAACCCGGAAGTAAACTGTTCTGGTACTTCCCTGCTCCGGCGTGTCCGTAACCTGAAAAAACATAACCTGAAGTGTCTGTAACCCAAGGTATGACTGTACTTCTGTTGATGCAGGTTTTTTTGCTGCTGTGTTACACTGTTGGTTCACGTTGTTGTCTACTAGGACCCCCTAGAACAGCCTTTCTCAACCTGTGGGTCACCAGATGTTGTTGAACCACAACTCCCATCACCCCTAGCTAGCAAGGCCAGGGATTATGGGAGTTGTAGTCCAACAACATCTGGGGACCCACAGGTTGAGAACCAATGCCCTAGAAACTTTTCACACATACTGTTGGCAATCCAAGTGTATCCCGCATCCTGTATTTGTGAAGCTGGTTTTTCCTGCCTAAGTGTAGAGCCTATTGAAATTCATTTTGTTGGTTTGGGCCCAGTTCTCCAGTCTCTTAAGCTCTCACCAACTTGGGGAACAACCAGCAATGCTCCTTCAGATGGTCTCAGTGATTGAGCTGGGATATAAGAGTTCAGGCAATCCCTGAGATACCCTTGACCTAAGCTGTTGTTCAGGGCTCTGCAAATTAATACAAGAACCCTGAATCTGGCTCAGTAGTAGATGGGCAGCCAATGCAGCTGTTGGAACAATGGTGTTACATGATCTCAGCCAGAAGCTGTCAGCTGTCTGGCCACCACATTCTGCACCAGCTGGAGCTTCCAAGGCAGATCCAAGAGCAGCCCCACAAAGAAAAACATTACAGCAACCCAGACTTGACCAGTGCATGGACTACAGTGGTCAGGGTATCCCAGACCAGGAGTAGTCATAGTTGCAACCTATATGAAGATTGTAATAATAATAATAATAATAATAATAATAATAATAATAATAATAATAATAATAATTTATTTATACCCCACCCTTCCCGGTTCAAAAACCATGCTCAGGGCAGCTAACAACAAATTTAAAACAATTGTAAAAGCCGCATAAAATACAGTATAAAAACATGGATAACAATAAAATTCAAAATTCAGAAATCAATTTGGGGAAATAAGCATTAGAATAATCCCCAGGGTTAGCTGGCTAAATTGGTCCTACTTGGGCCAGCGAGGAGGCCAGGGGAGAATTAGCTGTGGGGTCTCAGAGCAGGTAATCTTCATAAAAGGGGAAGGGGAAGGAAGAGAAGGGAAATAAAATAAAATAAAAGGCGAGGCGGAATAGCTGTCTTACAGGCCCGGCGGAAGGAGGTTAAATCCTGAAGGGCCCTAGTCTCATAGCACAGAGCATTCAAACAGGTCGGAGCCATCACTGAAAAGGCCCTGGCGGAGGATAGTCTGACTTCCTTAGGGCCCAGGACCTCTAAACTATGGTTATTCATGGACCTTAAGGTCTTTGCGGGGCATGCCAGGAGAGGCGGTCCCATAAATACGAGGGCCCAAAGCCACAAAGGGCTTTAAAGGTCAAGACCAGAACCTTGAACCTGACCCTATACTCCACCAGGAGCCAGTGCAACTGGTAAAGTACTCCTAGCCACAGAAGACACTTTGGTGTCTGGTGACAGAGACATACTTGGGCCTGGAACATCAGCCCAGCCACATGATGGTTAAGAAGTACAAGGGTTATGCAGTTGGGTCATCATGAGAGCACTGGGTGTGTGGATTTCTGCAGCATGCCCTTTCATACACAGCACTTTCTCAGCCTCAGTTCAGCAAATGGAAATAGCACTGAGACAGATGATTTCCTGTTTCACAACATCATGGCCAGATTTACACAACCACTTTGCAGACTTCTTTTCTTCTTCTTGAAAAAATTGTGAAAACATCTCCCCCCAATTCCAACAGTAAGCATGTTTCTTTAGAGGTTAAGTAGGTCCATCCACACTCTGCATTTAAAAGACTACCATATGACCATATGCAGTCATGGCTCCCCCCGCCCCCAATCCTGGGAAGTGTAGCTTGTTAAGGGTACTGAAAGTTGTTAGAAGACTCCCTATTAACTACAATTCCTAGAGTTCACTGGGAAGAGAGACTGATTCTTAAACCACTCGGGAAAACGTAGCTCTGCAGCAGACACCAACTTTGATGGAGGACGCGGCAGTCAACAACTTCTAGTCGTGATGGCTGGTTACTGCTTCCAGTCCTGGGGCCATGTCCGCATTCCTGTTTACTTTGTGTTTCCGAGGGCTGAGGAAACATCAGTCTTCACCTGATGTTATCCAAAAGGCATATGTATCTTGTATTTTGTTAGAAAATACAATTGCTTGATATGTTGTTTCTCAAACCAGCTTCACACCCATAGGAGTCCCTAAGCTGTTCTGAAATCATCTCTAGTCAAGGTGTGAACAGCTTTGCATAGGGCACATATATCCTCACCCCATCAACCTCTCCTGGAGTGTACAGAAATGAAGCTGATACTAATGAAGCTGTGCTGATGTGAACAGTTGTTGTGCGTGTGGGTGGGGAATAGCTGTGAAACACACTGAAAAAAACTAACTTAACTGAGCTCTAAGTGTGGTATAGAGGTTAGAGGGGTCAATTAGGGGTGGGGACCTGGATCCATTGAGCACACCAGGTCCTTACTTCCTCTATGGGACATGTTTTTGACAAGTGAGCCCTGCCCACTTGTCACTCACATGATGTCGCAGTGATGCCAGGTGACCCATGACGCAGTTTGGAAGCAAAGAAACAGCATTTTGCAAGTGTATGATCAGTTGGGCAGGTGCCAGGCATCCTCATTTGGCCTGTGAGATTGTTCTGGCTAAGCTACATGCACCTGCCCCTACACCTGACATCAGATGTGGGGCAGGTGAAGATGTGGTTGGGTAGAAAGTGGGCTTTGCGGGCCACTGAAAAACCTGCACGTGGGTTGAAATCAGCACTCAGCAATGATGCCCACTGGTTCATTGTAGGGTCTGATGGGAAGAGTAAAATGGAGGAAAGACACATGTATACCACCTTGAACTTTTTGGAGGAAAGGTGGGGTGTAAATGTAATTAAAATGATGGTGACAACAACAACAACAACCAGTTGCTATGGAATAACACTGGGAACGGTTTTATTATTGGGTGCAAAACAGGAAAAAAGATGCTATGACTCTCAGGCTGTGCACCCAATTACTGTTTACTCCAGTTCCAATGTGCTCTGGCATTTGAAGCCACACACATGTTTAGCCACAATCCACCTGTGTCCTTCAGTTTCTTGAGATGCCTTTTCTCTCAGCCATTCCACCCAGTTTGAACATGTAAGCCATGGCTAAGCTGAGGTGTGTACATTTCAGACATCCATTGCACACCCAGATTACAGCGTGCGCGCAGAGGGTGGCTTCATTGAAAAGGAGCTTGCAGGAATTGCAGGCATGGGAAAACAAATCAGGCCATTTGCATCAGGTTAAGAAATTCATTTCCCCTCCCTGCAGTCTACAGCAAGATTAAATTGTGACATGAAAAGTCTCAGCCTAGCCTTGATCTGATGCAGCAGGCTTCCTGGCTCTCTCCTGCTTTTCTCTCCCACTTCAGTATTGATAATGTTCATAGGTGCACAAGCTAGAGGCTGAAAGGCACTCCCCCCCCCCATCTCCTTTAGCAGCAGTGTAGCAGTTAGAAATTCAACAGGTGAAACTTCTCCATCTCATGCCTATGCTGGGATAGCCACATATGTTGAATTTCTGCCTGCAGCAACTAAAGGCACAGGTCAGGACCTCCTGTAACGGCGGCCGCTGGTTAAGTTACAACCCTACTGCTGATCAAGCGAGGAGTTGGAGATGGCGGCGTCTTAAGGAATGTAACTCTGCCCTGTAGCAGGCGTGCACTAGGACCCAGCGTTGCCGCCAACAGCGAGTGCAGACACACCTGTTTTCCAAGATAAGACCAAACAGACAGGGCGAGCGAGTGCGCAGGGGGCGAGACGGAGAAGGGGAGAAATCTCACGTCTGGCTCCCAATCGGGCTGCGCAAAGGGGCTCTTTCTGGCCAGCCTTTCCCTCTGCTTGCTCTGCCAATTCGCGCGCTTCGCGGAGCGCACGGATCGGTCGCTAGCAAGACAGCTGGAAGGAAGCGATCGCCGACGCCTCCAGCCCGACGTCTTTCGTCGTGGCATCTGGGCTGCTTCTCGCCCCCGCCCTCCGCTGCTGACTTCTTGTCGTTTTCTCTTTTTTCCCCTTCAGCGGAGCTGAGCTGGCCCGAAGACCCCCGACGGCGACAGCGCGCTCTGGCGGAGTGAGAGTGACTGCGGACGCCGCCGTCTTCTTCTCAGCGGAGAAGGGAGACACGCCTCCCTCAGTTAAAAAGCGAGGGACTTCGGGTTTCGCTGCGCTTTAGAGCCGGAGGGTGCTGGAACTCCCACGTGGCTTTTGGAGCGAAGGAAATAAAAAGCGGCTGTTTCTGGGAAGACCCTCTTCGCCTTGAATCGGTCGCGGGGGACTCAGGACTTCTTTGGAGGCTGGAAACACGAAGTCCCTCTGCAGGATCGATGCCGGAGAAGCCACCGGGATCAAGCCTGGGTTTCTTCGTGTGAATGTTCTTGACCTCATCGAAGCCTCCTTTCTCCCTCTGAGTCATCTGACTCGCTGATTTCTGGATCTGTCTAGGGTCGCCTTTGCGCTTGGCTTCCCGGTTGTGTCTCTGGGAAAGAGCCATACTAAGTTTTCTGGCGTTTTGGAAGAACAGCCTCTGAAGCCGCGCCCCGGTTGCCGTAGAAACTCGGTTGCCGGGGTCTCAGTTTTGCGCTTCCCTTCCCTTCCGCAAATGGGTGTGGGTGTAAAGGGGAAAGAACGCTTCTGGAGCTGGACCCATTAATCGCCCGCTCTTCACTCCATATTGTAGGCTGGAGTCTGAAAAAAGAGAAACTGTGCAGAGTGGTGCATGTGCTGGTTTGTTTGCAGAGACAGACTACCTGCTGGTGGAAAGAGACTGTTGTCTGTAAAAAGGAACTTGGGTCAAAATTACTGGTCACCTCCTCTTTAGGGTCCCAAAGCCTCCATTGGAGGAGATCAGCTCTGGACTGGCGGGTCAGTGGGCCCCAGGATGGACACTGTGTGTAACCTTTCCAGTGGGGAATGGTCAGACCAGGTCCTTCCCAGGGTGACAGGGTACAAACCCCGCCACGTAGTGCGCAGAGTCGCATCCCAGACTGTGACCAAGGTGAACCCACCCATAGGGATTGCCTTTATCACCCTCCTCTACTGTGCAGAGATTTCTTCTGCCTGCGTCGTGAGCTATGCCTACAGCTGCTCCAATGATGTCTTCTGGCTCTCCCTGACTCTCCTCTTGATGCTGATACCTGCCGTCATGGACCAACTTACCCTCATCTTTGTGAACCGGGACCTGACTAGTGACCAGCCCTTTATCCTTTTCATGCATCTTGTGTTGCTGGGTCCTCTCATCAGGTGAGCCGTGCTAGCAACTTTGTTTGGAGAAGGTACCATATAGCTCAGTGGTGGAGCATCTGCCTCACAAACAGGGGAGTCCCAGGTTCGATCCCCAGCATTTCCAGGTAGCATTGGGAATCCCCCCTGCCTGAACTCCTGGAGAAACCCCTGCTGTAGATAGTACTAAGCTAGATGAAGCAGTGGCTAGGGAAGGACTGTAGTAGCTCAGCGGTAGAGCATCTGATTTGCATGCAGAAGGTTCCAGGTTCAGTCCCTGGCATCTCCAGGGAGGGCTGGGGAAATACTTTCTGCTTGAAACCCTGGAGAAACCCTGCCTGTCAGTGCAGACATTACTGAGCTAGAAGGGTCAATTGCCTGCCTCCGTATGGCAGCTTCCTAACTCCCTCCCCCTGTCCACCCCCCTCAACTTTACTCAGCAGGGAGCTTTACCCAGCAGGGAGCTGGAGGGTTCTTTGTGTAGAACTGCAGTCGTAAAATCTGAGCTTAGAAAGAAGAAAGGGGACATGGGTGGCGCTGTGGGTTAAACCACTGAGCCTAGGACTTGCCAGTCAGAAGGTCAGCGGTTCGAATCCCCGTGAGGGGGTGAGTTCCCGTTGCTCGGTCCCTGCTCCTGCCAACCTAGCAGTTCGAAAGCACGTCAAAGTGCAAGTAGATAAATAGGTACCACTCTGGCGGGAAGGTAAACGGTGTTTCTGTGTGCTGCTCTGGTTCACCAGAAGTGGCTTAGTCATGCTGGCCACATGACCCGGAAGCTGTACGATGGCTCCCTTGGCCAATAAAGCGAGATGAGCACTGCAACCCCAGAGTCGGCCACGACGGGACCTAATGGTCAGGGGTCCCTTTACCTTGACCTTAGAAAGAAGAAAGCCAAAGGCAATGGCAAGGTACTGTGCGTGTGTGTCCTGAAAACAGGCAATACCATATTTAATTGAATGTAATGCACACCTTTTTTGGCCAAATTATGGTGTGCATTAGGGCGCGCATTAGATTTGATGGCGGCAGCAAATTTTTTTGGTTTCAATGTTTTGAAAATTGAGTTGTGCGTTAGATTCGATGGTGCATTGGTTTCGTATAAATACGGTAACATCTTCCATAAATGATACAGCACCCTATTATGCTTCTTAAGGTTGCTGCTCCTGTTCATTCTGCTGAGTGGGGCCCCTGGACCTTTGCCACTCAGTAGTGGGGCAGGAGAGCTGGAAGAAAATTCACATCTGGCAGCCAATGTGCCCCTTTGGTTTCAAATAGTACATGGGTAGACGAGTCTAAAAAGCCTGGAACAAAAATCTTTACAGCCCTCTAGTGACTAGGTTGGCTTATTTACCAGAAGTAGTGTACTGTATTTAGTGTTAACTTCTGACTAAACTAAGCGTCCCAGAGCAAAATATACATCAGGAAGCTGAGTTTGGTCAGAATCAAGTATATACTTCCAGAGTTAATGCTAAATACATTGCTTCTGGTAAATGAGCCACTATAGCTGCTAGAGGGCCATGAAAATTTGTGCCCTGGACTTTTGAGACTCTTTTACCCATGTACTATCAGAAACCAAAGGAGCAAATTGGAAGCCAGGTGTTAAATATATTGGCATTATTTCATCTCTCCTACCCCACCACACAATTCTAGCCTCAGAGGCAGTTTTAGGGTAGTGCAACCCGTTAGGCCACATTGGGCGTTGTGCTGCACGGGCCATCACAACAATGCTGTAGAACGGAACGCAGAGGGCACCCCAATTTTAGCATCACACAGGGTAGTGCTGAAATTTGAGAGCCCAAAGCTTGCCACTGCTAGCCTGATGGTAGCTCTGGCCAAGTGCCATTCAGAATGCTAAAAACTCATCTGTCCATTTGGAAGTGCCATTCGGCACTCCTAGCATCATTGCATAGGAATGGGGAACTTCAGGTCTGGGGGGCCAAATACGGCCCTCTGGACATATCTAACTGGCTCTCGAGACTCTCACTAGGCCACGCCCCTTCTCCAGGCCACATCCCCATTCACGGTGCCCTGCTTTTGCTTGGCTGGAATGTGCCCTTGTTAACAATGCCTTTCACTTTCCTGGAGGATGACACAAGTGGTGTGTGGTGTGTGTGTGTAGGAACCTTTGAATTTTTTTGCAGCTATAATGTAGACCACTATAGAAATGTAAGAATCACACCTATCACACCTGTTGCTCCGTCCTCTGACCCTGCCCACCACTAGCAAGCAGCCTACCAGAAGACTGTCTGCAAGGGAATGCAGCTCTTACTCTGACAAAGGTTCCCCACCCCTGAATGAACAGGAGCCCCGGCCCCCACTTCCAGTCCTGTCTTTGCAAGGGCTAAAACACCAATTTCACTATGAAACTTGAAAGCTGCAGGATTCATTGACTTGCAGAAGATGCTGCATTTTTGAAGCATAAAGCATGCACAGCCCTTGGTTGTCCCACACCTTGGTCCAATTGACACATGGCGCACATGGGGCCAGATTGCCCAACTCAAACAAGCAAAACCTAGCCTTCATGGGATGGGGGCGGCGGGACTGAATGGGGCAGCAGTGCTGGAAGGAGGCAATTTAATCCCCGCACTCCACATGCCATTTTCACAAGCAGAATTTATTCTCCAAATATATTTTTAGTTCCACTGTGGGGAGAAAAGTTCCTGTTCCCACGGTGCTGCTGCCCTGATCCAATTAGACCTCCCTCCATGAATCTCTCCCAAGTTAAGAAACAAAACAGCAGGAGATCCAATCACATAGGAAGCTGCCTTATACAAAGTCAGACTATTGGACCATGGTGTTGTGTACACTGGCTGGCAGTGGCTGTTAGGGTTTCAGATGAGGAGCTTTTCCTAGCCCTACCTGGAGATGCTGGGATTTGAACCTGGAACCATCCGCATGCAAATCAGGTGCTCTGCCCCTGAGCTATGATGGTCCCCATTGAACTACCACCCTCACAGATGTATCATCATGTCTACTTTGTCCCTCCATCGTTTATACTACTGTAGGACTTCAGACACAGGTGTAGTGGAGGAGCCAGAGACTGACATGCAAGTTGGACTGATGGGTTAATTGGGTGGCAGTGCAGGAGCAGGTAAAGTGAGCAGCCTGCTACTCGAATCACATCCAAAGGGTCTTGTCCAAATGTTTTCAGGTGGACCCCAGAAGTGAAGGGAGAAGAACTCCAGAGTTTTGAAAAGCTGCTTCACACTAGTTTCTTAAGGGAGCTGGGAGTTGTTAGGAGACCCCTACTCCCCTCACAGAGCAACAATTCATGGGGAAGAGGGATTGACTGTTAAAGTGGGAATTGAAGTTCTTTGAGGGGAATAGTGTTAAGTTGTGGGCGAACATATCAGACGACGCAGCGATTCCTCAAACAGCTCTTGTTTATTCAAAGGCCAGAACAGAACTGAACTGAAGAGCTCAGTCAGCCTGCTTATATAGAGCTCCAGAACAACGTAACTGTAGCAACTTTCTAAAACTATCCAATCACTGAACGTCACTTTCAATCCTTCATTTGCATAACTATCTACAGTATCCCCCTGCTGGCCCAGGGTGAGAACTTCAGTACATAACGAATAGGTGTCTCCTAACAACTCTAAGCACCCCTAACAAATTACAGTACCCAGGATTCTTTGCAGAAAGCCTGACTGTTTGAAGCAGGGTTCGCCAAACTTGGGTCTCCAGCTGTTTCTGGACTACAGTTCCCACCATCCCTGATCACTGTTCCTGCTAGCTAGGGATGATGGGAGTTGTAGTCCAGCAACAGGGGAGAGCCAGTTTTGGGAAACCCTGGTTTAAAGTACGATACTTTCTTTTTGCCTTGCGAGCACATCCCAGCTGCCTTCAGAGAATCTTATGCGCTCTGTAACGATGGGAACTTGCTGTTTTCAATCTGCTTGCTTTCCAAGGTGAAAGGTCGTTGGCTGCCTCCTTTAGGCAGCATAGCAAGGAAACTGGTTTGATCCCATGAGTCAAACAGGGGGGTGGGTGTCAGCAAAGGCTATAATTCTTAACTCTGCCTCTGCTTGTCCAGATGTTTCATTCTCCACTCCCCACCCCCAGTCTCTGCTTTGCTCTTCTTTCACCTCTTTGAGTGCAGGAAGGGAACTGGGTGGGGAGCTCGTTTTTGGAATGCTCTTCACATTGGAACCCCACCCCCCACAAACTTTGGAGGCTGCTGTTCTGTCACTTGTGAATGTGGTTGTTGTGGAACACAGTGCAGAAGAGAAATAACATGCATAAATTTTACATTCATTGTTATAGACAGATGTGGTTTTCCTTGCTCAAGACGCAAGGCTTTGTGTTATTAATTAAAAACATTTATATCTGCTTTTGTCACGCTGATGCCCTCTTGATATTTTGGGCTGCAACTGCAATCATGCTGCTGCCAGCATGGGTTGGAGGCTGATGGGAGTTGTAGTCCAAAACGTTTGGAGGGCACCAGGTTGGGTAAGGCTCCTTTGTAGCCTGCCACCTACCAGCTTTACAATCCACAAGGCAGCTTAACAAAATACTTTTGTTTTGTTACTTGATGCATTAATATTCCACCTCTTCAAGACACTCAAGGCAGCAGATATAATTCTCCCGAACTCCATTTAATCCTCTCAACAACCCTGTGAGGTTGATAAGACAGAGAGATAGTGACTGGCCCAACTTCACCCAGTGAATTTCACGGCTGAGTGGGTGATTTGAACCCTGGTCCTAGTCTGCACACTCCTAATCACTACAATGAATTGGCTGCAATTAAATGATGCAGACTATCAGATCATCATCTATTATTATTAGCCAACCAAAGCAGCAAAAGCATGGCACTCCTTACAAATTAAAATGGCCAGGACACTCCGAAAGCTCCTTGGAAGAGAACTGCCTTGGGTGGCCACCATGAAAGCCAGCAGGGAAGGAGTGAGGCAAATGTGTCCCTGCAAAGGAAGTCCCTCAGTTGCAGTGGACCTGATGAGGAGTCCCATGTACTCATCTACTGTACTTTGGGTGGTGAGAGCCCATGGAGCAGAGCCTCCACACAAAAAACCCACACCTTAAGTTATCAAACAATCCTATGCATGTCTATTCTGAAGAAAGCCCCACTGAGTTCAATGGGACTTGCTCCCAGGTAAAAGTGTGTAATATTGCAGCCTTAATATACATAAGAGAAAGGAGTGCATCTGTAGGTATGCTGGCCCCAGATCATTTGGGATTTTAGAATTCAAACTTTGAATTGGGCTGGAGAACTAACTTGAAGCCAGTGATATTGTTTATGGTTTAGTGGAACATGCACAGGTTGGAACAAGACCAGGCAAGCCCCAGTGTTGTGTGTTTCCTTTCTTCCACGTGGCCAGGTGTACTTTAGCAGTATTTACTTGCTGTTTCCCTTAAAGTTAGCATGTTCCTGTGTCTGACTCCAGGATTGTGGTTTGCTGCAACTAATGGTTCATTTAAGCAAGCTAGCTTCTTGCCAAATGCTTCTTCTTTCTCCAGCTTAAGCCTGAAGTACAAATCATTAGGGTTCTTCCTCTCTGTCCTGCCAGCCCTGTTGGCCAGCATTCCTGACTGGCCAAGCCGGGAAGGTCCTCTTCTCTGCCTTCTTTTACCCTGTGCTTTATTTAGCCCTCATTTATTTGCCCTGTGCTCTACCCTTCAATTTCAGTCTTCCCCCTCCCTCTCTCACTGGTGAGGGAATGGAGTGAAGCTGCCGTCAGTACTATTCTTAGCATATGGAACTCGTCAAAGAGCCATTCTTTAAGTTTTCTGTTTGCGGACTTCGCCTCCCTTTCATTCCAGGTTGAACGAAGCTTTGAAATCATAATGTACAAGGCAGTTTATGGGGCCTTGGGAGGAGTGGGCAAAGACAGAGGGATGCAAATTTAGCATGTTTTGGGGCTGGATCATTCGTGTGAGATGACGAGAGGCTCCCGGATCCCCCAAAATAACAAAAAGTCTCGTGGCAGCTTAAAGACTTTAACACTTATTTTGTGACATAAAAGGCAAATGTAGCCAAGGTTGGTCCATAAGGGGGAAAAATTAAATCCAAAAGCTGTGTCACAACTTTTATTAGAACCAACCAAAATGCCACAAAAATGTGGCAACTTTTTGAATTCTCCCATCAGGTGAGGTATTATACAAAGCAGGGAGGGTGGCAGTGGGAGGTAGGAATGAAGGAAAACCAAAACAGTGCAGAAATTAGGCTGGATGTGGTAGCCATGAGGCCAAATTATAGACTTGGTTCCAAGGTGGTGATTGCAGGCTGATGTGAGTCCCTCCCAGGTGTTACAGGTATGAAGTCACACACCTATGGTTCTGAGGTGGAGAAGCCATGGCTGCTCCTCTCCCACCTCTGAGAAATTAATACCTGGTTTGTCATTTCCGGCATCTAACTTGAAGGATTGCCACATTTTCCTGACAATTTGGTTGGTCCCAAAAAGGTTTTTCCCCAAATTTAGGCTGTGTTCAGACATGGGGGTTTATTGCATCCATTTCTAATGCTCCCATTTATACCTCATTTCCTGTCATTTTGATTAACAAGCTGCCATGTTGCACTAAATCTTAGATGGTTGCATGCTCGTCCCATGAGCAGCAGTGGCATGATCATGAGAAACACAGGGAAGTTAAACAGGGCTGTGACATAGACTTCCATGAACAAGAGTTCACTTCATCAGATGTGTGAAGTGGATACACAGACACACATAAAGGAATAAAATGGTAAACAGAGAAGTCAGAAAGTCGGTGAAAGGCAAGGGGTACAGTCTCAAATGTTTCTATGCAAAGCTGAGATGTATACAAAATAAACATATTGACGAATATCTTCCAGCTAAGGACACACCTCATGTATCTGATGTAGGCTGTAGCCTACAAAAACACTGACAGACACATATCAAAATCCGATGCATACTTGCATCTGAGTAATAATTCCCAGGATCTATTCACTTGGAATGTCCTATGAGGTTATGTTCTGCAATTGCTGAACACAGGTTCTGTCTGTACTTTCCTGGTCTCATCCCAAGTCCCTGTAACCTTTGAGTTATGCAGAAGTTTCCAGGTTCTGTCCCCTGCATCTCCAGCTAGAAGCCGGGAAAGACTTGAGTTTCCTGTTTGAAACCCAGAAAAGCTGCTGCCAGTTGGCGTAAACACTGCTGAGGTAGACAGATCAAAGGTTTAAATCTGTATATAAGGCTGCTTCCTACATCTGAGAATCCTGTGTATGGTAGCACAGGGATGGGGAAAGCTTTACCAGTTGATATTCTGGCTGCTGTGGAGCCATGAAAAACACAGGATCTATGTCTGGGGCTGTGTGGACACCATACATTTAAAGCACATGGCTTTTCCCTCAAAGAATCCTGGGAAATGTAGCTTGCTAATGGTGCTGGGAATTGTAGTTCTGTGGGGTGACTACAGTTCTCAGGATTCTTTTGGGGAAGCCATGTGCTATAAATGAACTCTATGGTGTATATGCCGCCTTGGTCAGAGGTACAGCACCTGCTTTGCCTACAAACCGTTCCAGGTTGAATAGGATCAAAACAGACCCTGTTTTGAATCCCTAGAGAGCCTCTTCCTATCCACACAGCTAATACTGGGCTAGATGGCCAAAGGCTAGATGGCTTATTCTGATTCAGAATAAGGCAGCTTCCCATGTTCATATGAGTTGGAGAAAGAGGGGGTCTTTGCCTAAAGGAATGACCTCATGGCTCCCTCAAGACGCACGCCACCACCGTCCCCATAGCTACCTGAAAGGCCTAGCCTCTCTTTCTCTTCTTTTAATTGGCACTGCTGGACCTCAGTGCATTAAACGTTGTCTGCTTTTATAAAAAAAAATATTGAAAAAGAAAAAAAGTCTGCTTTAAAAAAAAACAACGGTCAAAAAGCCAAAAAAACAAAACACTGTCAGGTTGGTGAAGCTGAAAGCATGTCGCTCTAGTCGTGGTGAGTCATTCTGGAGGAGAAGCGCTGCTTTGTCCCCATCAAAATGCCTTGCTGGATCATTCGAAGAGGGTGTGTGCTCTCAGTCTCATATTTTGCCTTGGGAGACAGTTGTGGGTGTGCTGCTTTTAAAACTGTGGGAAAGTCCTGAGCGGCGGACGCGTTCAGAAGCTGGATGTTTATCACCTGCTCGTAGCTAACGTTTGAGATCGGCGGCTTCTTGTTATAGTTACTACTACTTCTGCAGCAACAGATAATGAACCGGAAGGAAATAGGCAACCCCAGTGGAGGGCAGAAAGGAGACAAAGCTCTATTTGCAGACCTTTGGGTGATTTGCTATAGATCTGACTCCAAATCGTGCAGCAGCAGCAGCAGCAGCAGCAGCAGTGGCAACAACAACAAAAATAATCATTTTTTAACTATTCTAAATCAGGCTGAAAAATTGTGTGTAAAGACATTGAGTTCAGATCTGGTACGATAACCTATTTCTTGGGCTAAAATGTATCCAGAGGTATTATTATTAGTATGAAATATTATTTTATTATATTTACATTTCACATTTCCTCCTTGGAGCTCTGAGCAGTGCAGATGGTTCATTCCCTCTCCCTGCAAGGTAGGTTAGATTGAGAAATGGCGACTGTCCAAGGTCAGCCATTGAGCTTTAATGCCTGAGTGGGAATTTGAAATCTGGGCTTCCGGGCACTAGTTCAACACTCTAGCCACTACACCAAGTGTTGCTCTTCTCCCTTTCCCTCCACATCACTATTTTACACCTGGCTTTGATTGAGAATGATGGTGTTGGACTATATCAGAGTTCTTCAGCTTTGGGTCTCCAGGTGTTTTGGGACTACATCATCCCCAACCACCTTAGCCAATGGTTTAGGATGATGGTGGGAATTGTCCAACTACACCTGGGGACTCAAGGCTGAAGAAGGCTGGACTAAGAGTATTCCGATATCCTTTGCAACCCTAAAGTCCTATGGCTGAAACCCTAGCTCAAAATACTAGCTCACCCATCAGACTTTTACCCTCCCCCCGCTCCCAAAACAACACATGAATATTCATGAGTATGTCTGTTTGCTTCTCCCTTGTGAAGACCTTAAGAGAAGGGCTGGTGGCTTCTATACTGATCCTGACTCTTTCTCTCATGCAGGTGCTTAGAGGCCATAGTGATGTTCTGCAGGTTGGGGAAGGAGGAAGAGCCCTACGTCACCATCACTCGCAAGAAGCAGATCTACAAGGACGCTGAGATTGAGCTGGAGCAGGAAGTGGGTCACCTGGTGCGCAGGCTGGTCACCCACCGCAACGCTTTCAAGCGCATGGCTGTCATCCAGGCCTTCCTAGGTTCTACTCCGCAGCTCACGTTGCAGCTCTATGTCAGCGTTGTGGAGCAGGAGGTCCCCACCAGCAGAGGTAAAATGGAGGGGACTTAAAGGGCACAGGTTTTCAGCTAGGAGCCAGTTTGCTTGTCTGGTGCAAACTATAAAGGGCTTGGGAGGAGGGTCGTGGGGACGCGGGTGGTGCTGTGGTCTAAACCACAGAGCCTAGAGCTTGCCGATCAGAAGGTCAGCTGTTCGAATCTCCGCGAGGGGGTGAGCTCCCGTTGCTCGGTCCCAGCTCCTGCCAACCTAGCATTTCAAAAGCACGTCAAAGTGCAAGTAGATAAATAGGTACCTCTCCGGTGGGAAGGTAAACGGCATTTCCGTGCGCTGCTCTGGTTCGCCAGAAGCGGCTTAGTCATGCTGGCCACATGACCCGGAAGCTGTACGCCTGCTCCCTCAGCCAGTAAAGCGAGATGAGCACCGCAACCCCATAGTCATCCGCGACTGGACCTAATGGTCAGGGGTCACTTTACCTTTACCCTTTTATACCATTTTAATAGCCCTGCAGAGTCCTGGCAGCCACAGTTTGTTTACATTGCTGACCTCACAGAATGGCAGTTCCCAGAACCCTTAACAAACTATGATTCTGTTGATTATCCAGGATTGCTGGATAGTGACATAATAGTGCTTCAAATGTATGGTGTGATTGTAACCTTTCTCTCTCTCGCTGCTGTCTCCTGACTCAAACAGGGTCTAGACTTGCAACAGAATAAGGCATTGCAAATGCTAGGATGGTAAGGGTGGGCAGTTGCACTTCAGAATGCATGGGGTGCATATTCCTCATTCAAACAAACAAAACAAAAACACAGTGCTAATAGAAAATTAAGGCATATGGCACAGAAGGCTTCTATCCCAGCTTTGTACCTGCAGTGCTAGGTTTCTGTTTGCAGGGAGGTTGTTGTTGTTTTAAAAAAATTTTTTAACAAGATTTGTATAACACTTAATCTAAAAATGAATCACTACGCAGTTTACAAAAACGTATAAAATCTTCATTAAATAATATTCGTTTAGAGTAGCAATAAAAGTAGATGTAATAAAATTGCTAAAATATAGATACAATCAGATTTTTAAATTAAAAAAACCCCATATATGATAAAATTACATGTCCAGGTAGATTTGTTTAAACCAAAAAGTTTTAAGCAGGTGGCAAAGACATGTAAGGGAACGTTAAAAAATGCAGCCATGTTGCCCAGCTTTCTACAGGCTCTGTTCTTCCACCTTTAATAACCGTGCACCCTGCAGAAAGTAAGCAGGTAGGTGAAGCTTATTTTAGAAGGGAGTTAAAGCATAGCTGTCAACCGTCCCTTATTTGGCGGGAAACTCCCTTATCCCAGCGCCGTTTCCCGCTGCTGTCCCTTATTGATGATGTCCCTTAAATTTCCTGGGTTTCAAAGGAAGCAGCTCCTCTCCCTCCCTCCCTGCCGGCCAGGGAGGAGGGAGGCTCCAACTGGGTTGCTTGGCTGCGTTGCTCACACAATAAGGAGTCTAAGAACGACTGGGGGTGGAGCTTGCATGCCTTGTGCTGATCAAATCAGCCACGTTGCCTGGGGACTCGCCTTTGCTCAGCGCTTCCCAGCAGAGAGGTGACGGTGGTTTCCTTGCTGCATCCCCTTTGCCGGGTTGCTGCGCTGTGGGAACCACCGCTTGAGGCTTCGTTTGGCTGCTGGCTGGGCTTTTTCTGCCTTTGGCTCGGAGGGGCTCAGAAGTTGAACATACCCGTGCCCTAAAAATTCATTGTTTTGGCTGCTGATCCCTTATTTTCAAGGCTGCTCGTCCCTTATTTTCAAATCTGTAAGTTGACAGCTATGAGTTAAAGTAACAGAAAAAAGGAAAACTAACATGAAAAAGCTTCAGATCCTTAAGTTAGCATCTGGCTGCTGCTAAAGGCATGGGAGCACGATTGGTAAGTGAAGCTGACAACTCTCACTGAAGTTATTTGTATACTCTGGGCTTCCATCACAGTGATAACCTGCCTTTTGGCTGGTGCCTGCTGGGCTTGCTACATCCCTGGTGAAGTTCGTCTATGGTTTCCTTATGGTTACAGAAACAGGCTTTCTCTTTCAAAGTGAACTGGAGCATTACAAACGAAAGCTTTGCCAATGGGCCTGAGGCACACCTTAAGAACCCCACCCCAGACAGAACAAAAGGACATTAAATCAATGATATTAACAATTGATATGGTCTGCCCAGCAGAGGTCTATAAGAACATAAGGAACACCTTACTGGTTGAGGCCAAAGTCCTATCTAAACCAGCATCCTCTTTCCCACAGCTGCCAAACAGAAGCATCTGGGAAGGCAAAAAGCAGGACACATGGGGTGGGAGGGAGGAAGAGCCCTCTCCCACTGTTGCTCCACAGCAGCTGCAATTCAGAGTCATGTTGCCTCTCATACTGGAGGTAATAGGCAGCCATTGTAACTAGCAGCCACTGATGGCCTTTTGCACCACAATATTTTCTAACCCTCTTCTAAAGCCATGCAAGTTGATGGCCATCGCTAGTACCTCTTGTGAAAACAACGGCTGGATGCACACCATAAATTTAAAGCACGCTCTCCCACAAAAGCAACCTGGCAACTGTAGTTCCCCCCCCTCACAGCGCTACAATTCCCAGCACCCTTAACTAACTACAGTTCCCAGGATCCTTTATTTGGGCAGGGGTTGCTTTTGATGTACGGCGTGTAAAAGTTCTATTTATTGTATGAAGAAGTACTTCCTTTTGTCCACTCTGAACCTGTCACTGTTCCAGCGTCATTTCATGATCCTGGATTATAGTATTATGAGAGAGAGAGAAAAAGGTCTCTCCTCTCCTCTTTTCTCCACACAATGCATGGTTTTCTACATATCTATCATTTCGCCCCCTTTTTTTCCAAAATTTACAATGCCCCAAACATTGCAACCTTTACTTACAGGGAAGTTGCTCCAGCCATTTTATTATTTTTCAACCACTCTCTCTCTCTCCCCTCTCTCTGTATTTATAGCCTGCCTTTCTATAGTGAGCTCAGGGTTGCACACCTGGTTCTCCCCATCAGTTTTATCTTTCCAACAGCCCTAATGCGGTGGGTTAGGCTAAGAGACTGTGACTGGCCCAAACTCACCAGTGAGTGAGGATTTGAACAGTGGTCTCCTGGGTCCTTGCCCAGCTGCTACACCACACCTGGAAAAGCACATAGAGCTGGAGGAGGAATGTGAGAAGTGATGCTCTTTCCTCTTTTAGCTCTGTCTGCTTTTGGAAGCTCAGTTTGATTCTACTGGGTCTGCTTGCCCAAAGTATTCACACAAGAATCCAAATGTACAGTATGTACCCATGGGACTAAAACGGTCAGCAACCACCGATCTAACTGATTCCACTGGCTTCCACTGTGCAACCCTAAATAACAACAATAATGGCAATCCTATAGGACTTTTTTTTTTTTTGCATCGTCCAAGCCTGATTTTGCTGAATCAGGATGTAGTACTAGCCTACCTTGGAAGCAAAATGAAAATTTTAAAATGGGGCCTCCACTTTGAACTTTTTTTTAATAAAAAAAATAGTTTTTATTGGGTGGGTTTTGTGTTACAAAGCAAACAGATAAACAGGGTATGGTACAGCTATTGTCTCCACTTCAACTTGTTTTTTAAAAAACAATACAGGGCTGGATATAGGTCCCCATTGAAATATTGCTGTGGAAGTTGCAGCATCAAGGCTACTCCGATTTCATCATAAGCCGAGTGAGGTTTATTGCTTATTTTCAGACTGCAGCTCATAGAGTTATATAATAGTCTGAAAAAACTTGTTGATGCTGCCTCAGAATATTGTTCCAAAACTAGAAAAATCAAACTAGAATGATAAACTCATCCTATATTTTCCCCACTCTCAAATTTTATCATCCATTTCATTATTTATAGCAATATACTGCATGTCATTCTGTTTTGTTTTGTTTTTATAAAATTTTTATTGGTTTTCCAGACATGTAGTAAAAACAAACAACAAAACAAAACAAAACAAAACATACACACAAATAAACATGTACAATTTCATAAACTCATTCTCCTTCACCTTGTTTCCCGGACTTCCCCATACCTCCCTTTTTCTGCATCCTTATTTTTCCCCTTTAACAGCAACCCTTCATTTCATTATTAATTCATCTTCATTATAGCTCCCTTAAATTTATGATATACAGCTGCAATTCTCTATTTCTTAACACCATAACATCTCAGCACTCTTCAATTTTACAACAATTTTTAAGGTATACTTTAAATTTCTTCCAATCTTCTTCCACTGTCTCTTTCCCCTGGTCACGGATTCTGCCGGTCATCTCAGCCATTCCCATGTAGTCAATCACCTTCGCTTGCCATTCTTCCAGAGTGGGTAGCTGCTGCGTCTTCCAATACTTCGCCAGAAGAATCCTTGCTGCTGTGGTAGCATACATAAAAAAAGTTCTGTCCTTCCTTGGCACCAATTGGCCCACCATGCCCAGGAGAAAAGCCTCTGGTTTTTTAGAAAATGTCCATTTAAGGACCTTTTTGATTTCATTGTAGATCATTTCCCAGTAGGCCTTAATCCTCGGGCAGGTCCACCAAAGGTGATAGAAAGTACCTTCAGTTTCATTACATTTCCAACATTTATTATTGGGCAAGTGGTAAATTTTTGCAAGTTTGACTGGGGTCATATACCATCTATAAATCATTTTCATTATATTTTCTCTCAAAACATTACAGGCCGTAAATCTAACACCAGTGTTCCACAGCCTTTCCCAGTCTTCAAACATAATGTTATGACCTATGTCTTGTGCCCATTTAATCATAGCTGATTTTACTGTTTCATCTTGTGTGTTCCATTTCAGCAGCAAATTATACATTCTTGACAAGTTCTTAGTATTGGGTTCTAACAATTCTGTTTCTAATTTCGACCTCTCCATCTGAAAACCTATTTTCCTGTCCTGTTTGAATACCTCGTTTATCTGAAGGTAATGCAACCAATCTCGTACTTTAGACTTTAGTTTATCATAACTCTGTAATTTGACCCTTTCACCATCTTGCTCTAAGATTTCACC